AAAGGAATAGAAACATTGATAAGCTGTTTCTTTTCTTTGTTATTTCAATATTTTTTCTTAAGAATGAATCTAATAATCATTGCTGGCCATTATTTCTAGTTATGATGCTAACAGCAATTATGACTTTTGGACACTGCAGGAAATGGAATAAATCTCCAATTCCAGTTGTTTGCTGTATACTAGTCAAAAAAACTGTATAAGTTAAATTAAGTGAAAAAGTTTGAATTTTACTGCAAACATTCAGGCTACAATCAATCAGCTGCTACTATTTTTTAAGATAAACGATAATCAGAGAAAGTGAACAGATAAACAGTTAATTTTCTAAGAGTTAACGATTTCTATAAATAGTCATAAATAAATTTTTCAAATAAGCGGTATAAAAGGGTAATACTTAGAGGGTAAGAGAGGATTATTTGATAGAGGCAGTAATCAGTGGTTATTACCAATAAATAATCAGTTTATCATGATTAGCAAAAAATACAAATGTAATACATTGATGTCTTAAAATCATAGGTGCCACCAAAAATTTTAAAGGTTGACGATGAGACAACAAGAGACGAAAAAAAAACATCCTAGAACAGTTTAAAGACGTCAGTTAGTTGGTGATTCTTTTTGGTTTATATGTTGCACACAGTGTTGGAGTGCCACTCCACAACTATAATATAAGATGTATTTAACTGCGGGTGTACATTCACTGTCCAACACAGCATCGAAACAACATTACACATTGACAGTAATAATCATAATGGATAATAGTAACACTCATACCAATGCTAGAATTAATTAATAATAGTAGTAGCAATAACAAAAGTAATAGTTATGTTGATAGTGATAGTGATAAAACTGAAAAGAAAAGCATATTGATAATAGTAGAGACCTCGGGAAAAAATTCATAACACTCATATATTGAAAAAAACAAACATTGCTTTCAATTAGCTTTTTTTTTCTTCTTTTCAAATTTATTATCGGAACTAATAACAAATAAGTTCTGGTTCAAACAAGCACATCTGATACAAATTTTGCTATTAAATAAGACTTCAGAAGCGGCACTCGGCTAAGCTGCAAAGGCTGTCTTCCATAGCTCAACAACATTTTTTGACTATGCTCATAGCAAATCTGTCTTTTTTCTACATTTCTTCATTTGATCGTTTGATACAACACTTCAATTCAGAATAATTGCCTAAAGAGAGTCTAAAAAAATTTTTTTCAGTATGCTTTCGTAGTGAGCTAAAACGGTAGTATAAATATTAGAATAAACAGTACAAGAAAGACAGTAGCAAAAACGGTTGCAATGTTATAAAAATTTTGTGGATAATGTACGGTCACAAACAAGCGTTAGCATAGAAGCTGATGTTGCCAGAGTAGCAGCTCTTCAAATGTAGTTTTAGACGTTGTTAACCTTGAGTTTAAGCCTCTAGAAATCGTATTGTAAACATATCGCCACTTTGATCTTCAACAGCCCTACAAAAGAGCTTTATGATGATTACAAGACAGCAAATCAACAACGATACTCATCAAATTCTGCTTCTTAAAAACACAATTTCCTTTTTGCTTTTTTATGCTTTCTTGTTTTTGCTTTACGCCAAAATAATCGACAACAGTTTAAGAAGGAAAGAGTGGGATGTGCAAGGAATTAAACTGTTCAATGTAGGCAACCGGCAAAACAACAATATAGTAATGCTTAATGTATATCTGTGTGTATGTTTTAACTTCACAATACCAGAATAAAAATTTTAGCATTCTACAGAACTCAGTACTAAATAAGATTTGTTGACAGACCAAAGAAAATACTGTATCGTGTAATAATTTAAAACAACAGATTTTTGAGTTGTTTAAATAAGTAATTTAAATGATGTATTAATTCAAAAACAGTCAATAAATATCAGAAAACTTGGCAGATAAGCACAAAAACGGTGTTTTGCACTGTCAACAAACACTGCTCAAACAGAGTTCACTACATTGCAGTAAGCTTTTTTCTTTAATGCTCAAATTTTAAGCTTTGCTTTCACCTTGCCACTTCACTGATCTTCAGTCAAACGTTGAGCAAAAACCAGCGTTTTGAATTCAACACTACCTTATTTTGAAATTAAAAAAGAAAAAAAGAACTTAAAATAGTTTTTGTGTAAAATAACATCAAAACTACTTCATTACCGATGCAACTGAACTAACAACTTCGTGGAAAATATAGAAAAAATGTATCCCGTATCAACGATCCCTCTAAACCAGTCGAGATTATTTTAACAATAGTTTTTTTGTTTCTTCTTCTCGTCGACGTCTTCCCTGACTCGCTATCTTATATCGTCGAAAGTAACACTTGAGTAGCTTGTCGTTTTTAAGCTTTCTTGAATCTTTTACTGAAGCGCAACATTTAAAGAGAGGAAAAGCGAATTTAAAGAGAAGGTATAAAATGGAAAAGAATTAAGAAAGTTTGAGAAGAGTGTCAGAATATGTGTAAAACTAGTGTTTTGAAGTAACTAGAAGAAGGGACATGCTCATGACCGCTATCATCATTTCAATACGGTTTTTTTAACGAAACCTATGCAATATAACAAAAAAATCTGGTAGCTCAAATTGTCTTATTAAAGTATGCTGAAAAGTACTTTGTTTTTTGTGTTCCGACACCTAAGAGACACTGTGGTGCTTTCGTTTTGCATAACCGATTTGGTAAGCTATAGCTGTCAAAATACCGCTATTTTTTGTCATTCCTATCTCCAATAAAAATCTGCTCAGAAGCGATAGTTTCAGGAATAAAAGAGCATAAAAAGCAGCGTAAAAATTAAAAGTTTAATTTGTATCGTTCTGTATAGTATGATTTTAACAATTTCATTCTGCCACAAACTGACATCAAGTAAGCAACATTGAGGAAGCAAAGTATTTTGCAAAAATATCAAGCAGATTTACTTTTTAGTACTAGTCATGCTCATGCTTATTTCTAGAAATAAGATGAAATAAAAATTACGCGTCAATATTTCTGTTGAAAGATACTATAAGCATTTGAAACAAATGATAATTTTCTCATTTTTTGCCGTAATATGCAATTTATTTCAAATTCACTATTTTTTTGGAAATGTAACAAGTACACGTTTACTGTGGTCGCCTATTACACTGTTGTAACAGGAAAATAAAAAAAAAAAGAAGCTGAATTCTGTTGTTTTACAGCAACAATTTTCTAAGCTTAGTTAAGAGTTCTATGGCATTTCTGATCCTCAAATTTGGTCACTATGACTTCCAACAAGCTAAAAAAAGTTAAGCGGCTATTTGCAACTTTCTTTTTTTGTTTGTTTTTGAAAAAGGAAGAGCAGTAAAATTGCATTGCTTATTGCTGTTTCTAATCTTGCATCACAATTTTTTTTCTGAGTTTAAACTGCTAGAAACTGATAAACTTTTTCCCGCTTTAAGCTGAAAAAAAAACTGCTATAATAAGTTTTAGAGGAATAATTTTAAAAATAACGAGAAAAAATTTTAAAGCAGTACAACTTTATAACACTGAAAGTTATTATTTTACAAAGTAAAAGATAAAATGTGTCTATTTTTCGCTGACGCAAGACTAGCCTTAATAGCGTTTACTTAAAAATAAAGAGCTTTAAAAAATAAAAACCTCTTCTATAACTGTCTTAAAGCCAAACTAGAGTACCAGTTGAGACTCTTTAATCTCAATTTTAATTTGGTTGGCGAGCGTGAATGGGTAAGAGTGTCGTCTTAGATCTAAGATTGTAATTTCTCTAACTCTTACTTTGTCACCATCAAAAAACATGAAACTATGTTATCAAACCACGGTATAACTCTTTCCATTCTATCGTTTTAACTTCAGCTTCTCCAAATAAGCACTCATTTCTTTGATCTTTCTGCAGAACTTTTTTACTGCGACCGTACTACTAATAATGAAGTTAAATAGAAACAACAGTGAGAAAAGAATTTTCACCCAAAACTGTAATTTATGGTTTTTTTTTCAACGAATATCTTGGTGAATTGTTTGAATAAGTATGCCACTTAATTCATTCATATTTATATCAGCTTTACATTAACATTTAAAAGCGAATTCCGAATTCTAGCTGGAAATAATACAAAAAAGTGGATCAATTTTTTTACGGTGTTATAGAATTACCTCGTACACGACTGTCTGTAGGTGTCAGAAAATCTTTGTTGTATCACAAATTAAAGTCATACGCAGATTAATTCTATCTAGTTTTCTAGAAACGACTGCCATCTGAACCAGTAGATTTATATTGATACTTTGCTTGTTTAAGCAAATATCATCTGCTGTGCTGTCTTTAAAAATGCAAGAGCAAATTTTTTCCGCCGATCTTACAACACTTGGGAATTTTTCTGCAAGGAAATTTAAAGATGTGATTGCAGTTTCGAAATCAATTTTCTGAGGAAAGTTGCTGCAAATAAACCAAACCGTGAAAAAATTTGAAATGAAGCTTATATCATAAGCAAATGCAAATCATTCCTGGCATTTGCATTACTCAAAGTTTGAGTGTTTCAAGAACAAATAATTTCGGAGTATTATAAAGCCGAAAAAGCATGAATTGGGTGAACAACTTTATAACTAAGATTACAGATGTATAAACAGCAAGGTCTAAAACTAGTCGTTTACTAGAAGATGCTTAATGCTGCCGTCTTTTAGATTTAATTCAAAAGATTGGCATCCGACAAAGTTTTTTATAACATAAATTATACAATTTTTGGCAATATTTTCTTCGTTCTGTATGCAGACATCAAGAATGACTTTGTTGAACAAGATTTTAAAAGCTACTGTTTTATAAATAACAACAGAACTAGCCCTGTCGTTTAACGTTAGGCAGCAACACTTCTTATTTTCGAATCTTTATGACGTTCTTTCTCATCTTCCAGCAATTTCAGCACTCTTCGATCTTCACGATCCGTAATCAATTCCAAAATAAATTCTTGTAAAAGTACCGGCAAATATTGCACCAACAGCTAAATGTTATTTTACATTTTAGCAAATTAAATTGTTAAAAAATATTTCCAATCAAAAAACAGCATTTTAGTTCAATTCTTAATTAATAAATAAAATTAACGGTATCTTCTTACTTGCATCTCATGTACAAAACTTCCAGTTGTGAATTTGGTAAGGCCAATGGTTCTGATAGCTTCTCGAGCCAATTTCGCTGGGCTGATGACAAAGATTCTTTCAAATAATCCTCTGGCCGACATAGTTTCCTTACTATTGTAGTATGTCATTGAGGTAGCAACAACGGCAGGAATCAAAATTTGCACATTAATATTCTTGTACTCACGATCAATGCAGTAGCTAATAAAAGTGAGGAATGACTGAAAAATTCAATAGTTATTGGAGAAGAACGTTGTTTCTTAAATAAATTTTCAACCGATTAAACAGTCCATAAGAGAAAAAGCAAAATTTATTTAATAATGACTCTTGAATTTGCTCACTTTTGTTGAACTATAAGCGGCTAATTTCTTTGTAGGCCGAAGACCAAGACAAGAAGATACGCAGACGATTTGACCACCACCGTTTTTGTTCATCGGTCCCAGTACCATCGATAGAAACTAAATGACTACTACAGTAATACCGATCAAGATAACTTCTTTAAATTATCAGACGATAACCAAAAACGGTAACTGTTGCGATACGCGGTATACAGCTATATTATATCAACAAAATTAAGTGATTTTAGTAAAAAAAATATTATAAAGCTTTAACTGTTTTTATTTTTATCGGAATTAGAGTTATCAAAAAGACAAAAAAAAAAAAAGCTTTTAAAATTATTTAAACTTTTACAGAACTCATTATGCGCTTAATAAAAAAAAAAAA